TGAAGTCACAGCCCCACAACTGAAGTTTGAGGAGTTTGGAATATTACAAGGCCGTTTTCCATGGGAGCAGTGAAGCTAACTAGATAGTTCCCATGGACACAGCCTTGAGCTGTGTGGCTGAAGTGCAGGTGCGCATTCCTCATTGTTTTTGTGGAAATATGTTTGTGTTGTGTGTGTGGTAAAGTAGAAGTAGGAGAACCTAATAAAAGGCTGCCTGCTGCGCTGAGCAGGCAGACATCTCTTTGTCTCACTCCCTCGTGTGTGTTGTGTGTCTTCTTCCCCCCTCAGACCAGGACCCTTCGACAGATACCCAGCGACATTCTAGCTTCTTTGGTCAGTGCCAATCCATGAACTTCAGGCTGCAGCTCTTGGGGACAGGTGCATGTGTTAGCTACAGAGCACCACCCCAGCTCAGACCCTGGGAGAGCAAGCAGGCTGTATTGGTGTGGAAACTGCAGCTCAAGGATTAGGTGGACAGTGGGCACAGGACCTGGCTGATCTATCAGGGAAGCTCAGCAAAAGCAGCCCTTTTGCCATTACTTCAGGGCCAGCACTTGCCCTGTGTTCCCTTTGGTTGTGTCCTTCTTGAGCTACACTCATATTGTGCCATGCAAACCCTGTAGCTTGGCTCCTCTGTTAGCTCTTTGGCAAGGTAGATCTTTCTGTTCCTGTCAATTCATGGGCATGTGATAGGACTGGATGGAAGGTAAGGTGAGGCTAGTAATTTGATGCGACAGCTGATATTGGTCCTAGACTGCATTTCCCACTGGCCAGGGCTTAGCTTCACGGAGCTTTTAAGAGTATTTTTAGTTCCCAGAAAATAAAAGAGAAACTAAACCTGACTCTATGTGCTGTCACCTCTGCATACTCGGCTATTTTTACTTCCGACAGTCTCGGCCTGAGTCCAGCTTTTAAAAAAAGCTGGAATTATTTTACTTCCATTAAGAAAAAAACCCTAAAGCCTGATGTTATCAAGTCAGTAAGGGGACATCTGATCCCAAAGTTGTCAGGCAGACGTCTCTCCAAGGGGCATGTCAGAGAAATGCAGGGAGCTGGAACAGATCAGCAGATCAGCTCTTTCACTGCAGAGGCTTGGTGCTGGCACAGACCTCTCTGCAAGCACTTGGAACACGAGTGGCACCCACAGGACAGTTAGAAAACTGACATCCCTGCCCTAGGCAGGATGCTGAATCGAGAAGTCCTGCGCAACTCCTGGCTCTGCACTTCTCCCTGCTAGGTCGGAGTGGCTCTGGCAGGCAGGGAAGCTGAGAGTGAGCTGCCGTTGAGCTGGGACTCAATCCCTATGGCTTTCACCACAGTCAGCTCCATATGTAGGTCAGATGGGGTGCCAGGACTGTTATTCAGGGTCCCTCCAAAGGTAACAAAATTCAATGAACAGCAGCATTTTCTTACAATACATGGGAGTGGAAGGACCTGCCAGCAAGATAAGTTATCAACGGGTGGTGCTTTCCAAACTTTGCCCTCTACTGTTGCATCTCACCTTCTTGCTGATGTCAAAAAGGAGGGTCCAGGAGTGCCTGTGGTGGCGACAGTTTTGTAGGGTGAGTCACTTGTCTCCTTTGAACAGGCCAGTTGTGATCTCTGTGACAACAGGGTTTGTGCAGGAGCTGGAAGGCAACGGCTTTCTTTTGCTTCTGTCTTGTGAGGTTGCAGCACCAAATTGTATCGAAAGGTCTTCAGTATGGATCAGCTGCATCTCATAAGTGGCTGCTGCACCTTGCAGTTAATGTTCAGGTGGCTGCATGTAATGTTCAGGTGTGAAACCTGTCCTTGTGATTCCAGTGTATGTATCACTCAGCCTTGCTCCAGCCCTCTCTCTTTCATCTCCCTTCTCCTTACACTCTCCCACTTCCATTCATATCCTGGTTTACATCCCTGTCCATTTCTTCTCTGCTCAGTGCTTTGCTTCATGCTGCTTCTCTGATCTAACCCACCACACCTCACCACTCCATTTTAATGTCCTTTAGTGTCCCTCGCAGAGCTGCATCATAATCAGCCTACCTATCTTAAAATCAACCACAGAGAAAATCAAAGTAGGGCGGCAGACATTAAGTACCTAAGGACCACAGGTTCTGATTTTGGGCCATGCCCTTTCCTTCCATCTAGATATGACCCATTAGGCCATCAGATCTTTGGGAAAGGGATTTTACCATGATGGTTATGTCTAGAGTGTCACAGTCAGGGATTAAATGCTTTTGTTTAGTGTAGCACCTGCAGGCCACTGCACTCAGCAGCTGGTGCAGGGATGTGCTACCATGGGGGTCAGTCTGTTCACCAGCTCTGCGGCTGGAGTGATGATGACAGGGTAGAACAGTGGCTCTGTGAGTGCTGATTGAAAATGTTTGCCTCAAGGAGTGTTGCACAGGAAAGGGGAACAAGAGGAGGACAAACAGTTGTTCAAAATTAACAAGCTGAAGTCCTTGGGCAAACAGACCTCTATCTGCTCAGTGAGGGAAGGAGGGATGGAGGGTAAATCTCTCTGCATCTTTCTTATCTTTCTTTAATACACTTAAGTCCTTTGTGTCCTTATAATCTGATTGAGGGTCCCTAGTACTGCTGCAACCTGTGCAGCCATCCCTCTGCCAAGCACTGGAGGCATGCTTCTCCTTGGGAGGAAGAAACAAGCTCCTTCCCCCGTTTCGTCCCTACTCCTCCCAGTTCCCCCTCCCTTTTGCTTATCAAACTGCACAGTGAAAGCATCCTGGAAGGCAGTGTGTTGGTTTCTGCTGGGCTGAGAATGGCACCTTCCTGCACGAATGACATCCTGACCACTGATGTTAAGGAATGCATCCTTTGTCTGGGAGGGTCCTGGGAAGCTCTGATTCAGTCCTGAAGTCTTGCAGCCTGTTCTGGATTCCTCTGTAATCTTTCAACAGTGTATTCCTGATCCTTTTCATTTTCATACCTGGTTGCTTGGTTTACTGGCAGCTCCTGAAATTTATGTCTCTCCAATCTTTCCTGGCTTAGAGGTAGATGTCACACATTCAGCAGAGCATGGAATAGAGGTCTTCTTTCTTAGGAAAATAGGGCACATTTATAGAGGGAAAGAAATCATGGATGGAAATGAAAATTTGCTACTTCATCCAGGACTTTATCAGTGTCATTCCTCAGGGATCTCCCTAGATAACCTCGGGTTTGGGATTCCCTGGCTGTCCTTCCTGAAATTGGTCTCTGGAGCATGTTGGGGCACCCAGGAAGGAGTCTTGCCCACAGCCTACCTGCTGCCGGGAATGGAGGTAAAAGAAGAAATAGGCATCGTTTTCAGAAACAATACCACGTAATGGAGGAGAAAGGTGGACTTATGCTTAGGGATGTCAGTGAATTCTTCATACAGAGTCAGAAATAGAAAATGGGACAGGGGAAGGAAATTACTCACTGTGACCTGAGCTCACTTGTATCAGCTTCATGTCTCCTTTCCATCTTCAATATCCGTGGTCCTCCCACAGCAGCCACCTGCAACGGCAGTTCCCTTGCTCTGCAGAGCTCCACACCTGCTCATTCCTGTTTCTCCTGCTCAGTGGGAGATGTTGCTGCCAGACTGTATCACTTAGTATTGTTGGCCTGGTGTTCTTGCTGCTTAGGGGGCATTTGGTACTGTCTGTCAATCAAATAAGTTTGGGTGCTGTAGCCATAAAGCATATTGGGATCTAGATGTTGTTGCAAGTAGCAGTTTCAAGTGGTACAGGTGTGGCTGGTGCGAGCTTTACCGTAAAAGCTTTCTCCTTTCCATGGCATAGTAAGTAAACATGGCATTGAAACGTGGAGTGACAGACATGTGCCTCCTTCTAGGGTAGAATATTCACCAGAAGACTGCAGGCTTTTTCAGGTGTACAAGTTGTTCAAAAAGCATCACTTCAAACCTGATGCGGAGTGTTTGTTTTTAGTTGTTTGTGTTTATGTATGGTATGATTGCAAAATATTAATAGCTCAATGTTATTAGTAAGTGTCTCACATACTTGGTTCCTGTGATCAGACTAGATAAACTACTGTGTGTTTCTAAGGAAGTACTCGTATAGTGTAAATTCAAAATTTCTTATTCTATTCGAATGCTTCTACATTTGTCTTGAAAGATTTTTTTTCCGCAAAAGCCACTTTTCCCAGAAGACTAAGTTATCCCAATTTCACAACAACTGATTACCAGAGACCATATGGCTGGTCAGAAATAACTGATAACTGGACAAATATCTATGAGTTTTTTTCACAGTTTCTTTTTAACACTGTATTTTGTACTAATAGCACAATTTAGTTGCTGTTCCTGGTCTATTGATGCTGCTATGGTTTTTTGCAAGGTGACAGTTACTGGTACTTCCTAGTCACTGGGGACTATTTTCAATGTGCAATTTCCAGTTTGATTCACTGTTTTGAAAGAGCTGCAACAAATTCTTCAGTGTCTCCCTGCTTCATCTTTATCATGGCTTTATTGTAGTAGAAGTTGTTTCTGTTTATTTGGATTCTACTCTTATTACAGGTGCCTTACTTGATCAAGGCTGAAACATTTTTGTTGAATTCATAGTTCATTATCTGTTCGCTATAGGTCACTTTTTTCAAATATAAATAGTGAGAGGTCACAGAACATTTAAGTTTTCATTTTTAAGAACAATCTAAAAGCTTAGTTTTATAACTGCAGGTTTGATTGACATTTAAAGTCTTTCTTTTTAAAAGCAAGATCATCTAGAGGGCATTGAGTTCTGAAGCTTTTCATTTGCCATTAGACTGATGGTGATTCAAGAGTTTGAATGGGTTAATTTCTGTCTTCATTAATGTTTTGAATAAAAGTAAAGCTCACAGCAGCATGCTTAGAGCTGGAGGCAGTCTAGTTGGTATTAAGATTGCTGGGTTCAGCTGAGATCTCAAGTGTTTGAGAGAGGGAAGCTCCCTGGAGTATGGGGAACATCTTACTTAGCAAATTTAAGCATCTGAACGTCAAGGTTCCCTAAGGCACTAAGGAATCGTGAGGATTTTTTTTGTTTTACCTGCAGGTGTTCGTCTGGATCGAGTCCGTGGAGGCCGACAGAAATACAAGAGGAGACTGGATTCTGAGAGCAGCACTTACCTGAGCTTACAGATCCCTCCCCCGGCTAAAAAGCCATGTATGTATTAGCCTTGAATTGTTGCCCTCTGAGCAGCCACTATATTTTTTTTCATTGATCTCCCAAAACGTACAGAATAGCAGTTGTCACTTCAAATTCCTGTGTCAGTCAACAGCACTAGGATTTTTTTCTTACGATCATAGTGTAGAGGTAGATTAGGTGGGCCTAAGGTACAGCTCAGGTACTGTTATTCATTGTACCTAGGGTTAAATACAAGACCTTTCCTAGGAGATTATGTAAATCCATTTAGTGATAGTCTGATCTTTTCCTTTACCCAAGCTATGTTAACAAAACTAGTCCGATGCTGATTTCTCTTTTTAATACTACCCATAGTTCTTTAAACTTCTCCACATCCTACCAACTCCTTTGTGTCTCCTTCTCCCCTTGTTGGACCCTGTTGAGACAATGGCTGACAACATTACAGCAGCTTCCTGCTTTTGTCATCCCCGTGCAGAGCTGGTTTGGCACAGGCAGATCACTACAGCTTGTGTAGCTGCAGTGTAGTCTTCTCCTGTTGTCACCAAAACCATTACTGAGGTCCTATGGGTTCTGTAGTCATGTCATATCCCAGGAGGGTCCACCTTTTATCATGAGAAATATAACAACGACTTTTCCTTTGAAATGTGCAGTGACTAAGATCGTCTCCCACTTGCTGGTGGCTGAGCCAGAGAAGATTTATGCCATGCCTGATCCAACCATGCCGGAGAGTGACATCAAAGCCCTGACAACCCTCTGTGACCTGGCAGACAGGGAACTGGTGGTGATCATTGGCTGGGCAAAGCACATCCCAGGTAAACGGAATTACAAGGGTGTAACATGAACATCAAAGGGAGCTATTATTTATCTCTGCACTTATCGGTTTTGTCTTCAACTAGGATTTTTTCATGTAGTGATGCATGGAAAGTTCTGTCACAGAAAACTGCTTGTGGTGGGCTCTCATTGGTAACAAACTCCAATGCAGCCTATGATGTAGGTGCATAAATCGATGACTCTGTATGTATGTGCCCTGGGATTATGCAGAAGGCTTTGATATGATACAGTGAAGTTCTCTGTTGTATTTGGCATTGAGTGGCCCAGTGAAAGCACTTGGGAAACAGCCTTTGGGATGGTACAGTGGACTTTTGTGATCTTGTATTACATCAACATGACCTAGGTCTGTTGTGTTTATAGGTGAATAAATGTTATGGCAGTGCCTGGACTTTACTGCTAATAAAAAGGCAGGTACACACCGTGTCTGTAGTGGATGTTACAGAGTCACAGAATATTCTGAGTTGGAAGGGACTCACAGTGATCGTCAAGTCCAGCTCATAAGTGAATAGCCCATACAGGAATCAAACCCATAACCTTGGCATTACTAGCACCAGACTCTAACCAACTTTGCTAATTTCAGGATCATTCTTGCCCAGACTCAGGAAAGCTTTTGTCATAATGGATTCATCACAGAACAAGTCCCACTGTGATAGACAACATGCTATTGTCAGTGAATCTCCAGGCTTCTATGTTGACAAATAATGAGGACAACTTATTGGCAGTGTGACTGGCCTTGGAAGGCTCATTGACTATATTCAGTGCGTGTCTGTGTGATTGAGTGGCATAACAAGTGTCTCACACCTGCAGGTAGGGTGGACCCAGGCTGAAGGAGCATACATAGCCATCAAGGAAGTTCTGAGGGCAAAGATTTGGACTGGGAAGGGGAAATGCCCCCTCTCTAGTCTCTCTCCAATCACTCCAAAAACCAGATAGGCTGGATCTGTGTGTAGAGAAGGCTCGCCAGGGAAGTCAGAGGATATCCTTGGGGTTTACATGGCTGCTTTCCAAAGATTGCTTCAGACATTCACTATGAACAGTGCACTACAGCTATAAACAGCTTACTTCAGCTATCTGCTTGCCTTCTGTCCCTCTTCCTTGTGTCAGGAGAATATCCAAGGCTCTACTACAGGATCACAGGATTTATTGCATGCTGTCTCTGTCTTCCACTGCATGGATCTGTGTTCTCTTTCTTTGCTTCTTGGCTTTAAGTTCTTCGGTGTTTGGTGAGGCATCTTAACAAGAGTGATCAGAGTTTAGTTCTCCCATGTATTTTGCTTCTTTCTGTAGCTCCTCTTTTGGCTTTTTGGTAGCTGCTTCTCTTTTTCCAGAGGGAGTATTTCTCAAGTGATTCAAGAGTTAGTGGTTTTCTGAGCTATATGGAATATGGATTGTTATGAGGTGGGACTGTGAAGTCTGGAGAAGCTTTTTCAGGACGGTGTTTCTGAGTAGAGGTTAATCTTGGTGGTGCCCTTCTTACAAGAGATCTGCAGTATCTGCAGGGATTACACCCATCACTAGTGCTGGAATCCATCTGGGGCTGATTCATCACAAGTGGAGTTACAGTGGTGATTAGGGAACTCAGCCTGGATTGCTCTACTAACCCAATACTTGGGGTGTTAACAGGAGTGGCTTTAAGGCAATGCAATTAGCTGCTACGGCTTTCCAGTGAGGTACCATTGTACATTCGTCTAACCTTGGCTATTTCTGTTCGCAAAGAGGGCCCTGCTGTAGTTCCCCAGCTTGTGGCAGTGAGATGAGCATGGGACGCTCAGCTCTGAGTTCCTACTGAGTTTTCCAGCCTGGTGATATTATCCCAGAACAGGAGTATAGTAGAGATTGCTCCCACACTGTGAAAGGGGTTCTTCTTCTCCTTTCTGAAAGCAGGACATACCTGCTATCATCTCAGATTTCTCTGTGTATTTTTCTCTCCTGCAACCCAGTTGGACAGCCACAGCCTGGCACAGTTCAGACCAGCAGCAGTATTGTACAACAGGACTGTGTGCACGTGAGAGAGCTCAGGGATTGTTAAACGAGAGCAGTACTGAGAAAAAAACATAGTAAAAGACAGTTCATAAAAATGGAACAAAATAATCTGTAGTTCTGGAACAAGTATGAAACATACTGAGTTAGGCAGCAAGGGGGCAGAGCAGGGCAGGGCCAGGAGACTGCCACATGTCTAAATTAACCATGCCCTGTAGTTCTGCCTTCCAAGGATTTTGAACAAAAAGTGACATTGCTTCCTGTGTGCAGGAAATCTTGGTCAGAGAAGGATGGAAAAAGGAGAAAAAGTTACATATTCCTGCCTTGTATTCACACTGGAATTAATAAAGAATGGTGTGACGTTAAAGTCATACCAACCCTTTAGGATCCCAAGTATCAACACAAACCTCTGCCCTACAGTCTTAGCAAACAAAATCACTAAAGCTTAAACACACTCTCCTATGATAATAATAATAAAGCATGATTTAATGGTATTTAGAAAATGTTATTAGCTCAATAGCCTTATTAGCTATTAGCTCAAAAGCCACACTTAGCCAATGTGGAGTTGTGCCCTTCTGTACGAGGCCCCCTCCCCACTAGTCACTCTCCCCCCATGCTAATTGTCTTTGAAAAACATCCACCTTTTCTCTTGCTTTGATGCAGGGTGACAAGACTTCTCTTGAGGGGTGACAATGAAGGCTCTCCCAGGGTAGCTGTTGTACTGTTCTCACTAGGAAGACGATAGTACTAGCACAGAATGAAATATGGCAAGTGGAGTGACAGCAGCTGTGTCTGGAGTGGCCTCAGATCCTATAATTACATCTCCTTTTATTACCTCTGCTAATGGCCCTCCAGGATGACAGAAATGATAATAAATTAACAGATTATGAACTTCACTTGCCACAAATTATGTGACTTTTTTTTTTTTTAATTTGGGAGCTCCCACTGCCAAACCACTGAAATAAAAAAGGAAATCACACACACAAAAAAAAAAAAAAAAAAAAAAAAAAAAAAAAACCTGAATGTTACATCAGCTACTGCAAATAAAGCAGCTTTTCTCAAGCTGCACCTGGAAAGGAGGGAAACATGCATGCAGCTCTGTGCTAGAGCCAGGGGCTTCTCTTTTGGGAGCCTAGGGATGGCAGTGGTGCATTAAGCAGCACCTTTCAGGATCAGACTTGAGAAAAGCAGCAAGAAACAGATCACCAAGGGTATTTGCTGGATGCTGGGCCATCAGCAGCAAAAGGGTTGGATTCTCACAATTCATGGGTGCTTAAGACAACCAGGCAGTTAAATTTCACAACTAGAGATTCCCTGGTGTTATAATCCTATAATAGCAAGCCTATGATTTTGGCCAAGTAGCATTTACTTTTTCTGATCTCAACTTTGATAAAACGAGAGAGTTATACGATCATCTCTTTACTGCAGTGATTCAGGCATAGTCCTTTAGCCCTTGCATTCCACATGTGTAAATACTGGAGGCAAAGGGTCCCGATTCTGTCAAACGTCTCAAGTCCAGGCTTGACACCACAGCACTCCCTCTTCACACCTTCTGCTGGAGCTGAAGTCCTTGGCTACCTGGGAATGCTTCTGGCCAGGGGCTTTCCCAGGTGGGTGGGGCAGTTGCAGCTGGCTCTCCTGTTCTTCTTGGCACAGGTCATGTTCTCTCCTGTTCTCACCTATCGTAAGAGCCTCTGGAAAAGGGGTGATTAACCGGGATGCTGAATGTACAGGTTACTGCTACGGTTAAGTAATTTCTTCTACTTTATTCTGTAGCAGAAAAGTATGAGCCATGCCTGTCCTGGATCCTCTTGCTCTACTGCATGGCAGTTTCTCAATCTTTAACAAATTTTGTTGGCAGGCTGCAGTGAGGTGATGGTGTAACCCCTTTTGTAATCCAAACAGGGAATGAAGATGCAGAAAGGCCACATGACTGACCCAGAAAATGGACTTAAAGCAGCAGCAGCCTAAATGCTGGACTGATCTCCATGGTCAGAGCTAGGAGAGGGGTGACCAAAGGAGGGAATTCAGGTTCTAAAGACTGCAGCAGTGGCTGTGCACAGACAGCATCATTACCTCTGTCTCAGGGCTAGTCTCATCAGTTCCCTGTCTAGCAGGCAGAACTGGGGAGACATGATCCCAAGCCTTTGAGCTGCATCACCCTACACTTGGACTGAGTCAGGAGGGCTGCATTCCAGAGCAGCACAATTCTGAGTGCAGGGCATAAGGGGCAGAAGGGTGAGGTAAAGGATGAGGCACACACCTCCCAGCCTGAGCAAGAGGTAGGATTAACCAGGATTTAGGGCTACATGGAGTACAGGAATCAGTCTCACAGTCATGGAGCTGGATTTGCAGCTCTTCTCCCTAGTAGCCTGGACTCCTCTTTAGCTGTTCTCTCTGACACTCCTCCCCAATGGTTTATTGATTCTTCCCTCCCACCCACTGCTCCCCTCAGACCTTGCACTCACAGCACGTGACAGCTGATTGGTATCTGTTAATTAATGTGGCCTGGGGCCTCTTTTCTATTCAGTGGCCTGATAAGGGAAATTGGATGTCCAAGGGCTGCCAGGCCATTATCACCCTTTGCTTCCCCTGGCAACACAAACACAAAACATGGCGTAGAGATAAATAAATACCACTAACCCACCCTTCTGCCTTCCTATCCCCAGCTGAGATAGTGCAGATAGAAAAAGAGATCCCACAGTCAGTCAATATAGCAATCATCAGGTCTTTTGTTAATTGCCAACTTGATAACAAGAGAAATCAAATGATTATCATGGTGACTGGCTACGTAGGCCCTGATGTAGGGCCAAGAACTGTGAGCAGAGGGGGCTGTGGGATAAAGGAGTCCAACTGACCCTTGAATGCAGCCAGTGGGCTGGGAGGCTTCTGCACAGAGGCTCATGAGGTCTCTTGGTGATCCCTGAGGCTTAATATGCATCTGGGGAGAAAACTGACAGGGGAGATGGGTGGAGCATCGCTCTCCTAGCTGAGAGATACCTGGGTGTCCCATTCTCTCACAGCCCTAGGAACCTTTAGAAGGAAGAAGCTGTCAAAAAAGTCAGTTTCTGCCTGTTTGTGATGGGCAAATCTGCCTAGAGGGGACCAACACATGGTGCATGACATTTTTGTTTGTAATGGCTGTTATAGTGCCCACCTCCCAGGATTTTTCATCATTTGGCCTTCAAGGGTAGCTGGTATGGAGGGCATAACAGACGCAGTTTTCCTTCCCATGCACTTTTTTTCCCCCCCTTGAGGTGGAGAGTGCCTCTATGTTTTGTCCTCTCTGCTTTCTCAAGTAGACTCTGGGGATGTCAGGGTCTATCTCCACATGGTGATTGCTCTTTCCGTATTTGACAAGAATATTTGGTTCATTCCTGGGTGCTGGTTCTACTGCTACCAGGTTTGGCTGTGATTTAGGTACTTGTAAGGCACTATAAAGGTATTTTTGTCACTGGGTAGGGTTGTTGGCAGAGCTGATAGTGTGGAGATCAGGATGTGATGAGGAATAGACGAGGATTCTGTTTACAAAAATATTCAGCTTTTGAACACATTTCGGTGCTTTGTCATGACTGGACCTTTTCTCATGTTGGCCAAAGTCTGAGATTGTAGTTTACTTGCAATCAGGCCTGCCATTCCCATCTGTCACATCAGATCTTCTCTACTCTTTGGTCCCAGCTGCAGTACAAACCTACAAGAGGAACAGTGAGCAGGACAGTAGGGTACAGAACAGTTGCTGCTATAAAAAAAAGCAGTGATCATTGAAACAAGGTTATCATTAACTTTGGGCTGCCATAAATGCAATCAGAGCATCAGAACTCCTGTTTGAGACTGTGGGTGGGCATGGGAGCAAAGAGAAGGATAAGGTCCGTGTGTGCTGATTGCTACAGAGATAGGGTCACTTTAGTGAGCTTTTTTTGTTTTTCTTGACAGCAGCAGGTCAGTAGGGAAGAGTGCTTGGTTTGAATCTCGGGACACTAAGGACCTTAGGCTCCTAGAGGCTTTGCTGCTCACCCATTTGACCCTGCTTGTCTTTTGCCTCAGGGTTCTCCAACCTCTCCCTCGGGGACCAGATGAGCCTTCTTCAGAGTGCCTGGATGGAAATTCTCATCCTGGGCATTGTGTACCGCTCCCTGCCATATGAGGACAAGCTGGTCTATGCTGAGGACTACATAATGGATGAAGAGCACTCTCGTCTGACAGGGCTGCTGGAGCTCTACCTGGCCATTCTTCAACTGGTGCGCCGCTATAAGAAGCTCAAGGTGGAAAAGGAGGAGTTTGTCACACTCAAAGCTCTGGCCCTTGCCAACTCAGGTACAGCCCTGGCCCAGCCAGCCTTGCAATCAGGGAGTCAAGGCTCATGCTGTTATTTGGGAAGAAACTAGAGCCTACTGCCTGAGACTGCTCTGCTTGTGTCATGCAACATTCTCAAAGCTCCTTTCTGTCCACAGAGCAGGACTTAAGTTTGAAAGCAGGGAGAAATGAGGCTTACTGCTGCTGCAGCCCCAACTGTGCTCTGGCCCTGTAGTAGAGAGTGGAACCAGACAGGGATGGGCTAGCTGCTGGTTTCTAGAAGTAAAAAAAGCCCTTCTTCATTAGCAAGCCAACTCCAGTGCCATAAGTTCGGAAAAGGGAATGTGGACCACACCTGCATCCACCTCGGTAGTGTTGGTCAGGTAAAGCAAACAGGGAAACCCTGGTCCCAATTTCAAATGCCACCAAAAGCTGTGGGGTTGAAGCTGCCTGGTCCTGTCCTGGAGATGTTCAGTGACCACAGACACTGAATTCCCCTTTAACTGGGAGACAGTGTGGATCTGGATTACAGCCCTCAATTGATCAGGCTGCAGTGTAGAAAAGCTGGACAGACACGTATTTGCTCAAGAGTCCCATACTGCTAAAGCTACTGTGTGACGAGGGCTCCCTCTACATCCCCTGAGTCTCATTGTCTCGCACCATATCTCCTTGCCGAACTGCATCATGCAGGTCACAAAATTCACCCTTGCAGCCCAGCCTTGAAACCAGTATCTGTTTGGCTAAAGCTGTTTTACAGAAAGACACCCTGTGTGAAGCTGGAGAGAATAAAAGAGGGTGAATCTACATCTTCCATGGTAGCTGACTCTAATAATTAATTCTTCTCTCAGGTGTTTTGTTGTTTTTTTTTAAAGGCACCATATCTTTAATGTCTGTTTGCCTGAGTTCAGCCTCCAGAGATGAGTCTTTGTTGAGCTGTGTCCTATGACTCCAGGTCTTTTTATACCTAACAGCTTGCCACGATAAAGTTCCTGTTCCTTAGTTGCATTCCTTGGCTATGGATATATTACTTCAAGTGTAAGGTCCAGGATGCTGTGAGGCTGCCCTACCCCACCATTTTACACCATTCTGTTCATCTTTGCCATCCATACAATTCATAGCAGTAGCAAGGTAAAAGAAAAAAAGAAAAGAAATAAATTTCTTACAGCTCATTGATAAAAATGTTGAGTAGCATCTGGTTTTTTTACTGATCCCCTGGATTTTCACTAGAAAACTCCTCCTGCAGGGTTGATTCACCACTGACAGCTACTTTGAGATCTGTCATCTAACCAGTTACTAATCAATTGAAAGTGTTCTTTATTGATATTGTATAGTGCTAATTTTTTAATGAGAATGTCCTGTGGTCCTAAGCCAAGGGCCTTATAAAGCTCCAAGTCTATTATATCTGTGCAGTTAACTTTATCAACCAAACTTGTAATCTCATCAGAGAATGAAATCAAGTTTATTTGACAAGACCTCTCTTCCAAAGTATCATGTTGACTGGCAGTAGAATCACAGAATCATTTAGGTTGGAAAAGACCTTTAAGATCACCAAGTTCAACTGTTAACCCACTGAAAAACCATGTCCCTAAGTGCCACATCTGCACACCTTTCATAAATGTCATCAGTCTTAACTGAATGTCACCTTTATTTTTCCTTTATTTTTGCCTTGGTTCACATCAGGCTAGCATAGAAATTATCAGATAAAACCCAGGAAAATATGTGCGTTATTAGAAATTTTTCAGTCATCTTGAATTTCTTAAAAATACCAGGACTTTTAATCATTCATCTGCCCTAGATGGCCCTCAGCTAGCAATTTTAGAACTGTTAAAACCAAGATATCCAGCTCTCCTATTTCTGTGAAGTTTGCCCTAATAGTTCTAATATGTTGTTACATAAACAACAGACTAAGAAATCATCATCATATAACACAAGTACGTAATGCTTCTCTTTTCTAAACAAGACAGAAATACTCATTGAGGACTTCTGTCTTTGCTGCACTGCTGTTAATAGTTTAATCATCTCCAGGTGAAAAGATACGCCCTACAAATGATCATTTTTCTTCTATTTCTTAAATATTTATAAAACTTCTTTATTGTCCTTAGCCCTTCCAGCCATGGCTTTTCCTCCTATGTCCTTCACTTCCCTTATCGATTTTCTACACTTCATAACTTCTGATTCATATAAATTGCTATCTAGCTCCCTTTTTCAATTTCTCATATATTGCTTTTTTAGCTCTAATTGCTGCCTTCACTTTGCCACTGAACCAGGATGGGCAGATGGCCAAGGCTGGCGTCTCTCGACTGTGGAACGGTGGCTTTTGGTGATGTAATCAACTTGTTAAAGAACCTGTCTACCAGGAAGGTCATGGGATTAAACAGGAAGAAGGGCTCCTCAGAGAGGCTGAATTGCTAAGGTAGTGGTTGTGACAGAATAAGTGCCCCACATTTATCTGGCCCATGCTATGAGCAGAGACACTGCAGGATCTGAGCCTTGGTGCTGTCAAGTTCTTCACAGTGCAACAGAAGCACTCTCTGTTGTTGCTCACTGTGTTTTCAGGACTAAGCCCAGAGTAAGCCTTATGAGACAGTATGTATCAGGAATGGAGAAACGCTGAACAAAGTCAGAGCAGGACAACTAACACTCATCAGATGCTTTGGGTTCTGATTCCAGTGGTGTGGAGTAAACAAACCAAGGTAAAGGTCAGGAAGTACAGGCCAAAGCATGTTCTCAGCTGGATGGAAAAATCCCCTCTGACTTCACTGGTTTCTCCTACTGCAACTAGAAGTGCAGCTATGTAGGAGCATAATCCACAAAAATATTGCTTTGTTATTTGTATTGAAAGCTATGAAAGTAAAGCATGAGATTTTGGTTTTCATGTAATTAAAACTTCTCACAACACATGCATAAGGAAGCTAGAATAGGGTAAGTGTATTTTTCTACTGTAACTTAACATTCAACCTTCACATTCTTTTAATACCAGTTCTTTATCGTTGTGTATTTTTGACATGAATAAACGTCTGCAAGTATGTGTCTGCATGCAAACAGCTGATTGCTAAAACGGTAGGAAAGCAGTCTGGACCAGGCTTCAGCTCCCTTGAGTCAGAAATAGGGTTTAAAGATGAGCACTTAGATTAGCACCTGTGCTGTCTAAACCTGCTTTCTGCCTTCCCTCCCATATAGATAAATTCTTGAATTTTCCTTATCCCTGCTGGGTATAATTGCTCATGCAACCCAGGTTCAAGGGACTTTCCTCTCTTCCATGCGGCCCTGTGTATATTGACCCTTTGTTTCTAGGAATACAAACAAATGAAAACAGAAGTGGGAGCTCAATTGCTCTTCACCAGAGAAGAAGCTGACAATGGGCTGATCTGAGTATGCAGTGTGACACACCAAGGACACGCCTGCCGGGACTGGCAAAGATAATTCAAGGGAACTTTGTCTTTAGTAAGTGCATTTTAGAGAGCTGAACAATGAATTCTTAATGCCCAGAGCAGCAGGCAAGTCCCAACAATATGATCACCCATTTTTTAACAGAGTAGAAGTGCTAAGACTTAAGTCGTTACCCTTCAGAACCAGCAGTCTTTTTTAAAGCATTCCTAGGTCCTCTTTCCTTAGGATAAAAATCAATCAACCTATGTATTGAAGAGCTCTCCAGCTTAACACACAGCACGTATTCATTTTAGGACATGCAAGATTGTCCAAACTTTATTTCCTCTTTTTTTTTCCCCAATGCATTTTCATGCTGAGATGGAGTGAACAAGATCCGGATCTGGCAAGGGGATGTGTAGCAAATTCTGTACCAATGGGTCCTGTGAGGTTCCTGCTCCTGCCAGAAAATGCATGAGTCAGTTGAGGAGGCAGTGGGCTTTGTCCATTCTCACACCTGCCCTTACCCCATGCCAGTAGTGCTGAAGAAGGGTTCCCGGCATGAAGCCTGGCTTCTAGGCCAGCTGACCCTCAGGGACACGGTCAGGCAGCCTGCCCCCATCTCAGTGCTCTGACAGCTGTAAAAATTCATAGCTATTGATTTCGTAATTAACAGTTTATCAATGCCATCGATACCGGTTCACTGATGGATTGCAAGGAAATTAATCCTGCAATGTTGTTTTATTTTTTGCAGTCAGCTACCAATTTTGAACTTTCAGCAGAGAGAGGTGGTGGTGGGGCAGGCTTTGATCTTTATTTCCCAAGTTCCTCTTGCTATATACACGTAGTTATTTAATGCTGTTAAGTCTTGTCAATATCAGTACCCAAAACCAGAGCAACCACTTTGACCTGCAGCGTGGCTCATTGCCTGGTACTTCTAGCACCCGCTGGGATCTGCAAACTCTGACAGGCTGTGTTTACTTCTTCCCCTTGTGCCTCTAGCCAGAAGGACATTGAAGAGAAAGGCTGGAGGATGTTTCCCTCCAAGTTTCAACTTTTGATACTTCCAGTCTCCAAAATGACCTCTGCGAATGAGTGGGAAACAGATCCTACTCACTTCTCCTGGATTGTGCATGGAAATTTTTCAAATGTGCTGCCTGGCTGGGAGAAGTTGCCAGACTGACTTGGCAACATCCTTCTCCCTTCCTACTTTTCAGAATTGACCTCTGTGTCTAGCTCAGGTCACTGTGGTGACCTACCAGCCCTTCTCTGAGCTCCTTTGCCTGGTCTTTTGGGTACAAAGTGTAAACGTAGCAAGAACAATTCTTCCTCAGTAGGCTTCTTGGGAATACAAGCCTTTAATATCCTCTAATTAGTGAATTCCTTCTAAACAGCTTCTTAAACAGCTTTCTTGCTAGACATAATATTTTCCCAACTGTTGTAATACTTTATAAATCATGCATCATAAATATTTTTAAATTAAATGTATCTCATGAAATTCATAGTGTCTAATTTGTGACTGTGTTCTCCATAGAGATGACACATGTTTCTACAGAGATTTTGGCAGTTCAGATGGCTTTCCTCCCCTTCACTGCTGTCACACTGGGAAACCCATGTCCTCACATTTGTGTTTGTGAGTGGGCTGAGCCAGAGCACTGCCACACTGCAAAGCCCAGGCTGTGGTGGCAGGCAGTGCAACTACAGGTGTGCATGTGTGCTTGCCAAAGTGTCCCTTTGCTGTTGCTTCTGGATTCATTGCCCTGTGGCAAGAATCTTTATCAATGGGTTAAGTATCGATTAAAAGTCTCTGAATAATGAAGACATGGCAACAGTGTCTCCAGCTCTGTCAGGGTTTTAAGAGAGAAGCAAGAGGAAAAAAGAGCAAACCTTCAGTGATGTTGTGCCTGGTTAGCTTTTCTAATCAAACCTCTCTGCTCTTTGGTGCTGCTCTCTGGCATTATGACTTAACCACAAGTTTAGCAGCCTGTTCCACACGATTTCCTAGCTCGACCCTGGACTCAGTCATTACCAGCTTCACAGACACACCAAGGAACTGTCTAGCCTTGCAAACCCTGCTAGCCCCTCTGACAGCTTTTAGGAATCTAACTGGCAGCCTAAGGGAAGAGGAGATGTGGGTTTCCTTTATTTAAGCAGGAAGCTCCCTGAGCAGCTGCTGGCAGTCTCTGAAAACAGGGGCATATGTACAAAGGTGGGTCTGGCAACACCCCTGGGCACGCTGGTTGTGACCTACTGGGGCTTTTCTGTCTTGCTGACACCCTGAGCAGCTGCAAGGCAATTAGGCAGTTTAGACAGATGAAGCGCTATAGCAGTGTTAATTATTCTTAATGAGATTGCTCCCAAGCGGCAGCACAGCAGCTGCTGCCCCTTGCAGGGTGACTCTCACCATAAGGAGCATGGAGGGCAAGTAAATGTGCAAATCACAAAGGCTCCTGGCCGACCCCTGCACAGCCTTGTGGTGGCTGGCAAAATGGGCAGCACACAGGGCACATGTGTCACCTACCCCTGGCAACCTTACTGTCTCTGCACTGCTAGGGCCAACACACTGGGCTACTGCCAAACTTAATAGCAGCAGCACCAACACCTGCCAGCAAGGTGTTTTTTTCCCCTTAAGAAACAAACTAAACCAGCAACAACACTCCCACCCCCACTCCCGGGGGGGGTGGGGGCATGGGGGAATGACAAAACCAAAACAACCAACAACTACAGAAAAGAAGAAGAGAAAATATCCTTAACTTCAGAACCATAAATGATTTCCTTCCTCATGTCTGACTTGTCTGTTTGCTGTCTTTTCTCCCTTCCCCCAGACTCCATGCACATAGAGGACATGGATGCAGTGCAGAAACTCCAGGACCTTCTCCACGAAGCCCTGCAGGACTACGAGCTGAGTCAGCGCAATGAGGAGCCCCGGCGAGCAGGCAAGCTGCTCCTGACCTTGCCCCTCCTGCGGCAGACGGCTGCCAAAGCTGTGCAGCACTTCTACAGCATTAAACTGCAGGGCAAGGTTCCCATGCATAAACTCTTCCTAGAAATGCTAGAGGCAAAGGTCTGACAGCCCCAGCGCCAGCCGACAGTGGCCGGGGAACAAACTAGAAACAAAGATGCAGACAACGGAGTAATCCAAACAGCAGCAGCAGCCACCGCCGGCTTTTATCTCCAATCATTTATTATGGAAGAATTATTTAATGTCTGTCTGTCGGCGTGACTGCAGAATCTTGTGTACAGAAGGGGGGAAACTTTTAATCAGTCACCTGTTTCTCTTTTTTTTGTTGTTTTCTCTGTGGGAAATACCAGAATATGCTCTTGCACTTGTTGAGGCGGTCATCGGGGCTTAGCCCCTCTGATCAGCGATGCTCTCAGCGCTGTCCAGGCTGCCTGCTCCCCAGCTCCCTCTGCCAGTGCTGGAGGGGGAGTGGGGACAAAAGCAGGAAGAGAGGAAGAACAGTCAATATAAACTTTATCTGCTGGTGTTATGAGGGGTCAGTTAGAAAGGGAAGCAGCCGTGGTCCTTCTTTTTGTCACCTTTCTGCCTCTAACCATAGAGCAGATGCTCCTTTGGAGAAGAGCACTGCTGGACCTCTCCTGAACAAAAAGGTTGCCTCCCAGGCTCCTCTAACACTTGTACATACAGGCCCCACTTCTTACCGGGAAAGATGCTCCTAACTGTGTAAGATATTCTGCGACCTTGTACAGTGTGTCATTACGCCTGGCTAGTCCATCCCATGTACAATCCCTGCAGGCCCCTGAAGAGGTAGGATGTATGTCCCTGAGAAAATGCAAGTCTTTCCCAAATGGTGAGAGAAAAGAGCCTGATATGCTGGGTTGACTTGATAATCTCTGCATCCTCTCCTACGTGGTGCTAACTACAATTCTTCCACACTTTTCACCCTGTAGTGTATCAAACCTGCCTCTTCAGCTCAGCTGAGTACCATTCCCCACTTGTTCCTTGTGGCAGAGAACACAAGGTTTGTCTGCATGGTTACTGCCCAAGTATCAATACACCCCAAACCAGATCTTTCCTAGACTTCACTAAATGATAGCTCTTTGCCTCCACAGAGACTTAGGCTTAACGCCAAATTCTAGTTAGGAATCAAGGGCACTGCTTTTCAGAGGAGGCAGCTCCAGAGCCTGAGAGATTACTTTTTTGTGACAGCCTAGGGAAATAAATTAGACGGTGGTATAAGATTCCCGATACTCCAAGTACTGTCTTCCCCTGCCTCATCCCATTATCCTCAACAGTAGGAAAAGAGCAAACATATATTATACCTGGGGCTGTAAGAGGCTCTCTTCCTGATCAAAAAGCAAATACCTGACCTTGGGTTGGTAGAAGAAGAACTGGAGTAATGTTTATTTACTCCTCTTACATACCCAGGTTTCTGCTGTCTCCAAGGCCTGTTTTATCAGCTCTGCTGCCTAAGCCATACCTGCTGCGTTCTCAGTAGCCAGAGGGAAATGTAGGTGACTGACAAAATTGACTGCTGGCATTCTTTGAGACTTTATTTTCTAGGTCACTTAGTTTTAAGCTAGCCTGAGCTGACACAGCCTGAGTGTCCTGTCTCTTTTGTGGTCAGCAGCAAGGCAGTAGAGGTGAGGAAAAGCCTCTGATCTACATTTGAGACACCACTGACTCTATTACCTCTGTTCTCCTCAAGCTTCTATCCCTTCCTGGCTTCCCCAGGAGACAGGTGGTATGGCAGAGGAGTAACTTGCCCCCAGCAGGAAGTCTTCCAAACCAGGGTTGCAGTGTGTGATCAGAGAGACACTGGGTGCTTGTTTTCTACTGGAGCAGAATGTGTCACAGCAGGGTTGTCAGTGCTGCAGAACCCTACCCGGCAGACTGAGCTATGGATGCTGACTGATGGTGACCTCTCAGCTCTTGTAGCCAGCCCTCACCTTGTACTTCAGTTAGTTCAGTTCATCTCCTTTGAGTTCTTCCTACGCTACACAGTTGTAGCTACTTCACTCATTTTGTACTTCGTTGATAAAGGAATTCAGTCTTACTTCAGGCATATTAGTAAACCAACAGAGACCTAAAGGGCAGAAGGCACATGGGAACTGGAACTCCAACAGCAGTAGCAATTACACAGTGGTCTTGTGCTTTGAGCAGATACTCATGCTTCTCTCCCCAGCTCCCTCCCAGAGGCAGCTGGTGAGAAAATGAGAGGCTTTTGGTTGCACTCATGATCCCTATACCCATCTGTGACCGAGGGACCAAAGTAAAACGCATGCCACTACTATAGAGCCAGCTTGCCATGTGTTGCACTCTGGTAACTCTTCCTGGCTGTGGCCATTCCTGAAGGAGTGCTTTTGCAGGTGTGTTATGTTGCTTTATTGCCTGTAAGTTTGACTCGACCACTGTTGCAGTATGACCCAGCTCAGCCACAGCACATTGTGTCCCAACTTGCTGTACAAAGGTAGCTGTCCCAAAATGGGCTGAAAAGATCCTAAGAAGCAATTCTTACTCTGTCAGGCCCTGCTGGAAAGGTCACTTACACAAAAAAAAAAAAAAAAAAAGAAAACAACCAAAAAGACCCCACCAAAAACACCCACCCAAAAAAACCCCAAAAGGCTCTTCTATCTTTGTTGTATTTGGACTCAGGCTGCTTTCCAGAACAGAGAGCCAGAACTATTTACAAAACACAATTATGGAAAGCTGCTGAGTTAACTTCTAGCTCACAGAAACTGCTGGCTATTTAGAGTAGGGCTATGGTATGGAGGAAACTCCTGCCTTGACAGAGCAATATAAAGATACCAAATGCATTTTTTTCGAGGAACTTCTTTCTCCATTAAAGCTGCATAACCTTGGAGCCCATCTGAATATCCTCCATTGCTTGAAGATAATATGCAGGGAAATGTTTGAATTGCTTCTGAAATACGATGGGAACTGAACCAGACAGTACTTAGCATATATTAATCTCTTTAAACAAGGAATGCAAACTCTCCCCAGGAACTGGGACAGAAACACCTGTCTAGATTTAACCCTTAAAAGGCTTGTACCGTCCTAAATTGGGAACCAGGTCAGGTCTCTTGGGCCCTTCAGGCAAGTGCAGGAATCACATACACCTGTTCCCAGTTACTCCGATCTGCTGTGCATCACTGGTATTGTCACACGGCCGCTGAGGATGGTAACATCTTAGTGTAGTCGTCTCAGTGCGCTTTGAAGGAGGAAATTAATCTTCAGCAACTGCTTAGGTCTTTGAATGCTCACAGTCTCTTATGAAAAGGTCTGGAGATGTGGAAGGTGAGGCATGAACTAGGAAATGGGGTTTGGGTCAATGCTCTTATGCTGCTCACTTGTAATATAAGAGTCACAGAGTCAGGTCCATACACCTTTCCTTCTTCACGGATCAAAAAATGATGGAGCTTGAGCCATTGGGACACAAACGGGCTCTAAGACTTAAAGAAAAGCAAAGCGGTAGAGGTAAGTGTATCGGTGACAGTTAATAATATGAAGCACACACCAGCAACTACAGTAAAAGCAGCTCCAGCCCCTGATTTGCATATGTGGATAACAGAAACCAGGTACCTGTCAGCTACTACAAAAGGCAATTCTTCCCAAGTGACCAGCTCTTCTGTTTTAGGCACATTCTTCTCTGGGAACACCAGTGTCTGGCCTGTAATGCAAAACAAATTTCATGGGGATCAATTAAAATAAAAGGTAAATTACCACACGGAATTTTGGTTTCTGAGGAAACTTGGGCATTACACCTCGCAGCAAAACTGTGAAGCTACAAGAAATGCCCCCATAACAATCAGGACCTTGCAGTATTGCTCATGCTAAGGGGGCATTGTTTTCATACGCTCTGTCATCTTTTTTTTAAAACTATTATAAGTATATAAAATAAAACGTGCTGCACCAGAAACATGTAAGCAGCTATTAGAGGGGAAAGTCATTGAGAAAGACCCTAGAATGTAACTTGTTGAGCTTATATTACCAATCAGAGCTAAGAAAAAAGAGCTTCCACTTTGTATCCACAAGCTATAGTCAATCATATGGCCAAAGGTCACTCTGTTGTTCTTGTGGCTGGGTTATGTGGAGAAGTCGGAGAGAGACAGAGGCTGTGAGAATGATGCAGGGAGTCATCGACGGTGAAATAAACAGTATCTACTTAACTATTATCTGCTCCTAAAAAAAATAAAATAAATAAAATAAAATAAAATAAAATTAAAAAAAAAAAAGAAAAACCTGTTAAATAAATTGTATTCCTGTGGTACAGGTCATTTCAATCAAAACAAGAAATAAAACACAGAAATGTAAAAACTAACCCAGACAGAGTAATGTTTATTGTGTTCAGGAGGTGCTCTGTTCTGTCCCTTGGGATGCACATAGCCCCATAGAAGGAGCCAGTGTGGGGGAAGGTGTGATCTGTGCATGCTGCAGAAGGGTAGGAGAGCACCAGTCCTCTCACTTAGAAATGCTCATTTGGTGTTTTCCCATATAAAAAACACTTCTCAGCAAGCTTCTGAGTTTTTGTGAGATGAGCTTTGCTGAGGACTTGTTAAGACAGGCAGTGCTGTCAGTCTCTTTCATGGACGAGTCTCTTCCACTCACCTATTTTCTTCCCACATTCTACACTTCACGGGTACAAGGAATAATCAGGAGCTAGCAAGGAAAAAGTCTTGAAGTTGTTCCAGTGAAAAACAAACCCTCTCATTATAAAATAGACCACTGGCTTAAATCCAGCAATGACATCATGAATACTGCAAGCGTAACAGCAGCTGCACAGTGCTGAAGTCATGGCATTTACATTGATCTAGTGGTCAAGTGGTGCAAGAGGGAAAGCCCACAGCTGCTTGAGAAAGCAGAAGGAAACGTGCTGTGGGAGTTGGGGCAGAGATGTGAGAAACAAGGACCCAGGGTTTTATTCCACGTCTGATTCTATTGAATACAGACAGCATCACACTCTGTTTAAGCACCTCCATCTCCACATGCCTCAGCCAATGCTACTAAGGTCCTTCTGGGCAATGGCACTCACTGGGATGATGCATCTAAACGAGGCAATCAAAAGGCCTCTTGGCCTGCCCTCAGAAGAAGGGGGTAGCTGAATTATTAGTGGCCGGTAAGAAAGTCCATGGTCTAGAAATGAGCTTGAATGAAAAAAAACCAAGATGATCACAAAGCTGGAGAGGGAGGTGAAGCACAATGAGAACTTACACTTACAAGAGCTACCCCTAGCCCAGTCACCAGCACTCTGACTGTAAGAGGCACAGTCTTTGAACCAATAAAATCCCCTTCCAAGATCACATAGGCAGCTCGCAGCCCACCTACATTGTGTGCATAGGTCCTCTGAATGTTGTATCTACTCACAGAAGGTTTGGATTTGGCCACCACAGTAGGACTTTAAAATGGATTGTACCTCAGGTTAAATATAGCACAGGGATGCTATATGTGTATATATACATATATATATAATATATATATATATGATATAGTTGATCTGTGGCTTTGCAAAAGGCAGTAGTTTTGGGGTTCTGAAAAGTGTATGTGGCAGTGGAGTTGATGGTGTTAAGAGATTAGTAAGGGTAGCCAGAGGACTACAGAGAGCCTAGGCCCCACTCTTCACACACACCATTCAAGGATTGTGACTTCCTTGGTCCCTTATTTCTAAAGTGGAAGCTGCCTTCCTGGGAGTTCTCCTTTGTCTAGGTGTTTTGAGGTTTTCCTTATTTTGCTTACTAGTGTTCACTCACACTGGAATTAAAAAAAAAAGGTGAGAGAATTGTCTTCATGGTAACTACACAGAGCATTGGGAGAAGCAGAGGCCAACCTGATATTTCCTCTTACAGAAGAGCTTCACAGGAAATACTAGGAAAATACTCTATTTTCTCTGATCAGCTGGGGAGGAAAGAAGGTTTCTTTACTAATCAATGTAGAATTCTCTAAACACATTTTTCTCCCCCAAGTTTAAGCCCTTCAACAGGTCTTGGGCGAGGCTAGAAAAGTCAGCTCTGAGAGTAGCAGCATCCAAATACGAAGTAGGAGTGAAGTCACAGGAAAGATCTGAACTGGTCAGAGGCTCAAAGCACTTTTTGCAAGAAAAACTGAGAAGACAACAGCTACCACTGACTCATCACAGATTTGCTAGAGACTTCAGTGCTTCACAGATCCCTTCATAAATGCAATGAATCACATGCCTACTGCAACCATCTCTTGGCAGCACATGCATCTGCGTTGCTTCAGATCACAGACCCATTTAGACCAGTGCCCCCTCTGCTAACATGGCCAGCAGCAGATGATCAGAGGAGAATGTAAAAACATGGCAAGGAGGTATAATTAAGTCTCCCAGTAATTTAAGGATCAAAGACTACCTGAGCTAGATATGTATGTGGTCTTTGCATTTAACACCCCTCAATGATTTTTCTTACATTAATATCTCCAGTTCTGTTTTCAAACACAAGCATTCATCCTTCACAGAACCCTGTAGCAGTGAGTTCCATGGATCAGCACTCAAAGAAGTATCTCCTTTGCCTACTCTGAGTATACCATCAGCTCATCCTATTTCATGCTCCTACAGCTTGTATTAGAAGACAAACAGTCCCCTGCTCACTTTTCCTTACCATGCACAGTCTTTCACGTCGCTTGATTTCACCCACCTTCATTAATTGCATTTCCAGCATTGTAAATTCTTTTCCACCGCAACACTGAAAGCAGTCAATGCTAGAAATAATTTTCTATTACCATTTACATTATTAAACTTAAACACATTAACCAAACTTTTGTTTATATTTTTGTCAATGGTTAATGCTACTACAGATCAGTGATCTTTTGGGTCAGTTTTAGGAAGTACAGTTTCATCAGATATTTTTCAATCTAATGAACCCTTGTAACCAAGCCTGGGGTAATCACATATTAATCCCATTAGTTTTTGTCCCTGCATCATAAAAATTCATCAGTGTCCTAAGGGACTAATGCTCCCAGCATTAGCACAGGTGTCAGCTTTTCAGGGTGCTATCCCCAGTTCTTCCACTGCTTTGAGCACTTCAAACTCGCTTTTTCTAGCTGCAGAAAATATAAATCCTTACCACTGCTTCTGCACATTTCTTCTTTCCATCACTGCTCTGTTTCTCATGATGAGGTTCCTGCTATGATCTAGCCTGTTTCCCTTGATAATCTGTGATATATTTTTGTTTCTTCACTAATGGATGATCTCTCTTTCTCCCGGCTCCCTCCTCCTGTCCTATTTCTGACACAATGACCATGTGGGTGAGGAGGCCACCAGTGAATATCCAGTCCTCTGTGGCAGCTGACCATACCAAGTTTCTCCAAACCCCTGGCAAGATAGACTGTTCCACCTCCTTTAAAAACAAGGCCCCTGTGGCTAGCAGCCAGCTCACTGTTCTGGATGCCTTCCACTTGGAAGGAGGGTCGCTCCAGCTAACTCCACTTTATTGTCCCCCATTGCTGAGGCTTTGCTAAGATGTCCTGGCTTTCCAGTCCTGCAAGGAATGAAATGCCACCCAAACGACACTCATCAAACCAAGGGGAGGGCTACAGGAGGGCATTTGTAAAATGACACTGTTGATGCCATTTGGGCCAGATTATCCTACTTATGTTTGCAAACAGGAACAAAGTACAGGCCTGAGACACAGTGCATAGTCAGACTACATCACAGCAGCTTCAGCAACAGCACCAGTTAACTAGACAAACTATGCCAAATCGGAGTAAAACTGTGAGAGGAGTAGAAACCTCCTAGCCTGAAGGTATTCTGAACTCTGTAAGAGACTGCAGCTGGATAATGCCACTGCCCAGCACACTGAGCCATAATAGCTCAGCACTTCCTTCTGCCACCCATTGCCTATTGCAAGCCTTTTGTGCAGGAGCCTCCTTTTCATTCCATGGCTGCTCACTGCACACAAAACAGGCCCCTGGCTCACTCTTCTTCCCTGGGCATGGAGCGTGCAATTAAGTATATCCTAAAAGGTAGTTGAAACCCAGTATAAGTGATGCCTGGGACCTTTCAAATTGTGGGAGACTTAATAACTGCATAGGATGAATCAGCTTGGACTAGGACTTGAGAACTGTCTTGGGTTTTCATGTGGAACATGTCCACAAAACAGGGTATCCGTGACTTGTTCCAGAGTTTGTGATTACCCTGTGTTCCAGAGCATATTGCTAAGTGCTCCTGTCAATTCTCTGGACATTCTCACAGACAAAGATAGTATTGGCTACCTACAGCTGCCTGACTGCTGTGCATGTTATTTATTCCAATACAAAGAATAAATAACTTACCCCCAAGTTGTCAGTGAGATACCATGCTAAGCACAAATGCTGTCACCTCCTTGTGCCAGGTTCCATGTACTCTACTGGTTATATTTATTCTCACACAGGTCATCACAGCAAATGCCCATTTCATTGTGTTTGGCTCTGCACTCTCCACAGCACAAGTTGTTCAGATAAGCATTTTCCTTTTCAAAGATCAAGAGTCAAAGAACAGAAACTGCAATAGAAACTGTCTGGGCTATGACTATGAATAGCTGCAATTCAGCTGTGATGTGCCAAAGGAGAAGGACTAACCTGCACTTGGACAGTGCTTCATAAGGTGAGCAGAGCTGACTAGATGTCCTTCACAAAAGTATCCTGGTGACTTCCCAGCCATGATGGAGAAATGAAATAATTTCTTCCACGCGCACTCATCACTTAACTAGTTGCCCAGCAAATCAGGAACACACAGTACCTCTAAAACAAACAGGAGAGAAAGAAAATGATATAATGATAACACAAAGGGAATATCGAGCAGCATTGCAACATCTCTGTCTTTCAGACTTTGCTGAGGAATCAAACACCCTTTGCAGTTAGTTTTATACTTCACAGTTACTGCTGCTAAACAGATTAAATAAATAATCTCTCCTCTGTTACTTCTCTCCTTTCACAGTCCCGTCTCCACTTTTTAATGGGCATGGGGAGATGTGGACACAATATTACTTCCCTGCCAGTCCACACCTTAGGTACCTTTTTTTTTTTACTGCTGGATCATTTCTCGTAATTAGGAAGGTTCCCACTCAGATATATTTGGAGCTTTCAAGGAAAAAAGAGTGAGAAAAGAGGGGCAAAGTTAAAAAAATGTGATACAGTTTGTTCTTTACCTTGTTGGCATAGCTAGCTTTGCTGCTTATTTCCCTTTCATCAGCCTGGCAGGAAACCACAGACAGGAAGATTTTTGCCCTACCCTCACCACCAACCAATGTGTCAGTGAGAGTGCAGGGTGCAAATAGGAGGCCAATGTGCTCCTGGAAAAAAAGGAGAGAAGCAAACTAACAAAGGAAGACACTAATGTTAACTTGTTCCTCACCTCAGCCCTCAATATGACTGCTCTGTTCCTTCTTTTCCTAGGGTGAATCTTGAATGATTTCTCCTGGTTTGAAACAGATTCAGGAAAGGAAAGGGAAGAAAAGATACACAGCAAAAGGGAGAATGAGTCAATTCAGAGCTTCAGAATCAATGAAGCTTAAATACACTGCTACATACAGAAGGGGTGGAAGGCAGGTATTATGTGGTTTTACTGCGTATTATTACTTCCAGATGAGACAGTAATATTAAGTGGCATGAGAAAAGTTTGTCTGAACAAGGCAGGCAAAGCCCTGCACTCTTCAAAGCCAACAAAAAAGCTGAAATATATTTTTCCCATTAGCAGGAGATTTCCCCATATCCTCATCACATTCTTTGTTGTTAGGGAATCATCATAGAATCATAGAATGGCCAGGGTTGGAAGGGACCTTAAAGATTACATACTTGCAACTCATGTGCCAGGGACAATGACGACTTCCACTAGACCAGGTTGCTCAGACCCCCATCCAAACTGGCCATGAACATTTCCAGGGATGGGGCATCCATAACTTTTCTGGGCTACCTGCTCCAGTGCCTCACCACCCTCGCAGAAAAGAATTTTTTTGTAATACCTAATCTTCCTAATATCTAATCATCTCTTTGAGAAGTAAAATTTAACCTATTACCTCAAATCTATGTTGTGATAGCCAGGAGCAAAGAATTCAAAGCAGAAGGAATAAGAGATGTTAGATTCAGAGTACAGAAGTTCTAGGACTGCTTCCCAGCAGCAAAAATTGTGGCTGCTGAAATACAGCTCAACCTGTATAAACTTGCGTGAGACAGGGTCCCTCCAGCTCCCACATTCATGTGTTCCTAGTACTCTTCTTTGTGGAGAAGAGAGAGCTATAAGTGCCTTTGCAGCACACAAGAAAGTGAAGAAGCAGGCCTTAAAGGCAAGTATTTCTGCAAACATCGAAAAATAGTTCTTCTCTGTGCCAGATTGCACCAGAGAGAGATCCACTGGAGAGACCTCTCTCCTAAAATTACCCTGTTCAAGTAATGAAGATGAGACACCTTCTGAGACTGAAGTGTCAGGAGAGAAAATGCTGGAACAAACTGCTTAAGAACAAATAAATGACCAGCACAGTATATCGTGTACATCCAAGAGATCTGTAGGAGTTTGGAATGGAAGCTGAGCTGCTGAAGACATGAATTCTCTCATTAAAGTCAGCTGTTATACTGGAGTAATGAAGGGTAGCAAATGCTGTAAGTTGTTCCAAAAAAGGCATTTGGGATGATCTGGGAAGTCACAGACCACTGAGCTTTACTTTGAATCAGGTAAATTGGTTGAATTATCAAGTAAAATTAAAATCACAGGGAAGGACTGGCACAAAGAATTCATTTAGCTTTGCTCCAGTGTCCTTGCCCTCTTTCCACTGCTCCTCACTAATTTAAAATTTTTGTTGATTCTTCTGAAGTCTCCTGCTTATATCATTCCTCATTACTTTTTGTGCATTTGGCTATATCCTACAGAAAAATGGCTTTTCATCTTCCCTCATTCCATCTAATTATGTTCTGGGAAAAACTACATAAGCAAATATTTGTATTTATTTATGCAATAACTGTATTGCCATTATGGGTACTACAGAGAAAGGTGGCAATAGCAGAAATAATACCTGATGTTCCCGTGATCCACCATTGATCTCTCACTTGTCCCAATCTTAACAGATAGGAACTGTATACTATATATATATATATATATACTATATATTAGGAGGCCAATTGCTTAAACTACTTCAAACTATGCTTTACCATGTGATGACCACCCAACAGCATGAAAGAACATTTTAGCAGAGAGTTTTCTACAGGAACCCTTATATGATGTCTGATCCAGATGGAGCTTTAGGATGGAAGGAAAGGCCTGATGATTTCTTCAGTTTCCTTGGCAAGCTACACTGGAAAGAATGATCCAGCATGTGTCTTGGTTTTGTGCCTGAGTCAGGATTTGCTTTTATATTATAGTACAACACTTTTTTCTACACTACCGAGAACAAGTAGTGGAGAGGAAGCAGTAACCTATGAAAGATGCTGGCCAAGGTATGGCCAGGCTATTGAGGGCACAGCCAGGATGTGATGAACCAGGAGCAGAACGCGTGATAAATACAGATTATGCTCCACTCACGAAACTGGGAGCATGGGAGTTTGAAGCAGAAGACAGAAACCAGCACGGGCTCCTTCTGGGACAGCCAGGTAATGTGTCTAGGTTCCTAACTGTGGGGAAACATCAGAGGCTAAAGGCAGAGGGATAGCCAATTAGAAAACTCAGAAGCTCTGTTACGTGTCCTGCGAAAACCTAGGCTGGAGGCACGGAGGCACCTAGCCTCAGCTGACATGCCCTTAAAGTGCACAGACAGACAGTATTACAGTTTCATGTCTTCTATTTAGATCTTAGCCACATAAGTATTTGCAAACCTACCCTATCTTGAGTGATAATTATTGACTTAGATTAGTTTAAGATTACATAGAGCCTAATAAACACTCATTACTTTGGCAGGTTTGCTCCTGGTACTGTAATTATTGCAGAAAATCACATTTACTTAGGTACAAACAAAACAAGTTAAGAGTTTAAAGGGTTTTTATTGTTCAAGCAGTGCAGATAGGATATTACTTAATTAATACTTCTTCATGCAGTCAGGTGTCTGGAAACACCACCCTGAAACAGACACAAAACGATCATGTTGATCCTGTACCACTTTAGCTATTTTGCATATTCATTTTCTAAATAGTTAATGTTACTAACAACTAATTCTGTAAGCACCAAATGTCACTGAGTGGTTACTTTAATGAACATGTTAGACTGTAATTCATATTAATTACCCATATCACTTGGTTCAAACTAACTTCAGTGTTTACTTGGACACTACCATAGTTAAATTGCTATTATAATTTCACTCCACATTTTGTTAAGCATTCTGACTTAAAAACTTTCATAACTATCATAACTTTATTTTTATTTCTAGCTAATAAATGAGGGTCCCAGAATTTTTCTGAGTAGACATTAGCTTCCATTCATCCACATGATGGCAATGCAATTCACTTTCAAACTCCTAAGGTCTAAATTTCTCTGGATTTCTTCTGGATTTCTGGAAAATTAGAAAATTAGAATGCCCTCTTCAAGATCACTGCAATGCTTCCTTTTCACTGTAGTCCAAAGTCCAAGTGAATATTAGGATGTATAAAGCTTATGGCTTTTATGGCTTGGGACCTGGAGCGTCTCTGTTCTTGCCTCTGAGTCATCATGCACCTGATGCCTCACTAATCCCCAAGAGGTTTGATGTACCACAGCACTGAACAGCTATAATTACTTCTGGAAGCCAGCTGCCACTCAAGTGACAAAGAAGCCTGCAGAGTCATTCCCCCAGCCCACGTCGCTGAGCACTTGGACCATTTGAATACAATATTAAATAGAACAAGACATAGGCAATACGGTTTTTTTGCAAAGCTGAGCTTGTCACATTTGCAAAATTAATACGGTGTGGCAGGAGATGAAAGGGCCACCTTCGCCATGGAGCTCCCACATCTATTGAGCCAGACAGCGTGAGCCCAATAATGAAGTGCCTAGTTTTGCACAACCATGAAGTTTTCAGACAGTAAATAGGCAACCAGCAGTACATGGCAAGTCCTCTGAGATAAGCACAAAGATGAGGAAGTAATGACAGGAATGAGTGAAAACAGGTATTTCCTACTAAGCCTAAGCAAAACTTTTTTGGGTCTTGCTTGAGCACCTGGGTCTTGCTGGAGCACTGTGTCAACAGGCCTCTAAGTTTTGTTGAAGGTGTTAAGCCTTCACAGTGCAGCAGGACATGAGCATCTGCAAGGCAAAGAGCACTGGCAGCCCCTAGGAGCCATTCTTTCTGGGACCTTTAGACAGTGTTATGTAAGAGATTTTAATTTATTTACCCTCCTCAACAATCCCTACACCCCAAGGACAAAGGGAAGGACTGAGTGCCTGCTTGAAGGAACCAGCAGCCTAGATTACAAGTCCCTGCTGCTGTTTTAAAAGGGTTACTTTTTGGACAAATTTCCTGTTGTTTTGAAAGAAAGGAACCACTTAGGATATAAGGAAGATAAACAACTCCCACTTTGCAAAGCAAGCTGCAGTACCAGCAGTATCATCACAGATTTAATTTTTTTCCTTTTGCCCTTCTTCAAATAGAAGTTAAACTCACGCATTTCCTCCCTTGCACTCTCTGCTTCAGAGAAAGACGTGGCTCAGGACACTACCTCCACATCAGAACTTCACCTGGAAACATTCTGCTAATAAAATCCCCAGTACAAACTGTAACAAAGTGTGTCATCTTTTGCTTCTTTGGACAATTTACAAGGTGGATTTTTTAATATACATATATACG